AAAAGAAAAAAAAGAAAGGGGAAAAAAGTGTTTTTCCCTGTAAGATCCAATCAGCAATTTAGGGTATGCAATTAGTGAGACGATACGAAATGTCTGAAGAATTCTGGTTTTGGCAAATAATTTTCAGTACGATATCTAAGCTATCAGAGTCCTAAACTTCCATTTAGTAGAAGTTTCTATTAGACATTAAGTGAATATGTTGTGGTCTCCCTAATACGTAGAAAGATAACATCTCTTGATTTTAGCAGGTTAGTAATAACCTTCTAATCAAGGGTGTGTAGTGCAAAGATGAAATCCTGATCCATCAGTGTTTGAACATGTTTGAGGAAAATTCCATGAGCAGGATCTGAATTCTTCCTAGATCTTAGAGAGAATGGGGGCAGGGTATTATGGCTATGGAGTGGGGGTCAGCCCCAAAGTGGCCAACCCAAGCTTAACCACTGATTTAAAAAACACACCAGATGTTTCTTTAGCATTCTTTCTGCTGCATTTTCTTTATTTCAAGCTGCAGGTCTACTTGGAGGGTCATGCAGCAAGTGGCTTATAAATAAAATCAGAGTCTATGAATAGTGTCATCACGTTAAAGAGACAGAATTGCTGTATTCTCATGATGTAAAAAACTTGCATCTTGGGAATCCATGACTTGGTATTATTTACGGAATACCTAAAATGGGGGACAAAACCATATATGTTAATAATACATACATGCAATTCAGAAGTTGAAGCAATGAAGTGCATTCAGTCATTTATTGAGCTAGAAATTCCATATGATTTTGAAATCTTGCCTCACAACTAAAACACGACAAATATAACTGGGCCAATCCCCAAATTAGCAAACAACATCACTGTTGCTCATTGTTTACACCAAGGCAACAATTCCCACTATTTCCAGATCTCAACATGGGTCAACAAAAATAGCACCTAAAGATGGTGACCATATCCATTTGCAAGTCTAGGAATTTGGACACTTAATCAATCCTTTAGAGATGATACATGTGTCCATATTTATAGATACTAGGCCTTCTCATGCTGTCATGGTACCAAAGGGGAAAACAGGAGGAGGGGGAAAATCAATAAAAACATCCAACAGCATGGTCTATCTATCTCTTTCCTTTTCCAGACTTATTATACAGCCAAGAATATTCAGGATAATGAAAAATTTAATAGAACTTTTTCCAAAACAGCATATATGTTTCTTTACTAATTTAAATTACAGCTCTTCTGGCAATATTTAGACTCTTCCACCAAACACTTCCAAGAAGCAGAAAGAGAACTGTTAATTCTCTTATGTCTTAGTGGTTAATTCTGTTAATAATATGGAAGCAGAGTTGAACAAATTTATCCTGAATAGGCTTGAATATGAAGAATAAGGACAAAGATAATATAATCTAGTTTTAAGTTCTCAAGCAAATAATCCAGATTTTCTCCTTAATTAAAAGAGAACCTAACGTTCTGCTGGTGTAAATAATTTTCATTCTATATATAAGTCACTAAAATGATGATGCCAAGCTGAAGCAATGCTTGACTGACTTCTACAAACAGATGTCCCCCTCCTGCATCAATAAAGTTTAAATTTTATATTTTTAACTCAGGTCACCATATAATTAATTAAGAGAGATGATTTAACTCTCCCTAATCATGAAGATTTTTATTTTTTTAAGTATCACTTTCTTGGAAACATGGGACAAGAAACAAGTCATTTCCATTTAATCCAATCATTTGAAATAAAATTGAGGTATCATTAGGGATGGCTTTCAAAAATGATTGTTATATTTAAGTTAACACAGCCTATGCAGTGTATTTGATACCATGTGGAACATTTTTACTTGCATAACAATATATTTTCAATAGATGCTAATATGTAAAAATCATGATTGGATTTTAATTTCAACCCTGTGTAAGCACTAATTTAACAAACCTCAGGCCACAAAATATATTCTTTTAACAAAAATAAACGAGACCATAAATTGTCTCCATTTTTGGAGTCTTACAGGAACTCTGCTAACATCCTGTGGCCAAAACTCTTACCAGAATTGAAATATTAAGAATTGCTTAGCATACTTTCAGGAGTATGAAAAATAAGTTATGTACATTTGAAAGCCAATTTAATTAATGTCAAAAATTAGACTTTAACTTCCATCAGTCACTTGGAAAGTTCTTTCATATAAACATTAATAGCATCACTTTCACAATGCAATGCCTCAAAGAAATCAGCTACTTAAAAAAAAGAAAAAAGATGAAGCAGTCACAGTCCTTAATTCTGACTGCCTCAAGATAATAGTTGGTCTAACTAATTAGACCTTTAATTGCTTTTCCAGGTTCCTAAGCATAGGAAGAATGACAAACACACTGAAAACACTTCTTTTCTGCTGAGTTAATACACAAATACATTAACACTAACTAATAAAATGGTCTGATTTAAAGAGTAACTAACCTGAGATGTACCTTGCTCCGATTAACATTACCATGCTACTCACTATAAAAAAGCCCAAGGGCAGACTACAGAAGATACTAGGGTCACCTGTGGTCATCCAAGTAGAAGGGAATTCCAGTCAAGCAAACCAAAAGAGAGACACATAATTACAATAATTGTGTTAAGAATCACATGATAGAAAAACAAAAATAAGTTACAAAAATAGTGTATTCATAAAAGCTAGCAAAGAGTTAATTACTTCAAATAAAAGAATATAATCAATATTGAAGGCTTATGACAGTTAAGTTAACAAACAGTACAGATAGCATGCCACAGGTAGCCAACAAAATACATATAGACCAACACAAGCCTTCCACTGGCCAAGCCAAAGAGAGCCCATGGAGGACTTTTTGGGAGGCTGTGATTTAAGCTTTCTAGATTCTTCCGCAAATAGTACTAAATGAGCAATTCAATTCCCCCAAAGTTCGCCTCATTGATCCTTTGGCTATCAGAGAAGGGTTATATTAGTCTATTGAAAATGAACGTTGAACCTTTTTTTTTTTTTTTTTTTT